TAATTGACTTGTTTGAATGTGTATGCATATATGTGTGTGTAATGTGGGTATTTACATACATATGTGAATGACTGCATTTGTATTTTATATATATTCATCAATGATATTTAGAAATATGCAAATGACTTTGTATACATGAATGTATGAACTTGCTTATGAATGCTATATACGGTTTGTGTTTGGTGTGGAGTCACATATTCATACATACACACCTACGTAAAAGAATATATAGCTACAGATGTAGATAATAGAGGATTGTAGGATAAAGAGGGAGTCAGTATGCCAGCTCATTCCCCTGGCAGTGTACTCATGATGCGAGGTGTACATGGTGTGTACCATTCTCTATCATCCTCCTGGTATGGCAGGCAGAATATCCAGTGACTTGATATGTAGATCTCCGCCGCCCTGGAATGTGGCTTCTCATCACTGGCTTTTCTGAATAGGATATGTTAAGTGAGACCATTTCTGTTTTAATTAAAGTGCTACCTGCCCTGCACTGTTTACAAAGTATTCCTTTTGAAAAGACGGCCTAAAGTTTCTTTGTCAATGAGGAGTGAGAGTTTGGAGTTTAGAGTCTGGTGCTGGAAGGATTCATTGAGGCAGCTAACAAAGACTAAATGGAATGATTCCGATCCTGCTTCAGCTTTTTTAGGCTCCTATTACTAGAAAATAATTACAGCTAATGAATATGCAAAGGAGGGAAGAATGACTGGCTAAATAAAAGGCTAGGGACATTATGCAATATGCAGTCCTGACAGGGACAGTCTACCAGAGGTCCTGCTAGGGATACTCTGCATTAGTCAGATAGAGTCCTGCTAGGGACATTCCGCTATAAGTCCCGTTAGGTATACTCTACATTAGTCAGATAGAGTCCTGCTAGGGACATTCCGCTATAAGTCCCGTTAGGTATACTCTACATTAGTCAGATAGAGTCCTGCTAGGGACATTCCGCTATAAGTCCTGTTAATTCCGCTATTAGTCAGATAGAAGTCCTGTTAAGGTTATATACTCTGCATTAGTCAGATAGAGTCCTGCTAGGGACATTCCGCTATAAGTCCTGTTAAGGATACTCTACATTAGTCAGATAGAGTCCTGCTAGGGACATTCCGCTATAAGTCCCGTTAGGTATACTCTACATTAGTCAGATAGAGTCCTGCTAGGGACATTCCGCTATAAGTCCTGTTAAGGATACTCTACATTAGTCAGATAGAGTCCTGCTAGGGACATTCCGCTATAAGTCCCGTTAGGTATACTCTACAGTAGTCAGATAGAATCCTGCTAGGGACATTCCGCTATAAGTCCCGTTAGGGATACTCTACATTAGTCAGATAAAGGATCCTGCTAGGGGCATTCTACTATAAGTTCTGCTATAGGGATACTCTACATTAGTCAGATAAAGAGTCCTGCTAGGGACATTTTACTATACGTCCTGCTATAGGGATACTCTTTATTAGTCAGATAAAGAGTCCTGCTAGGGGCATTCCGCTATAAGTTCTGCTAGGGATACTCTACATTAGTCAGAGTCCTGTTAGGGACATTCTACTATAAGTCCTGCTAGGGATACTCTACATTAGTCAGATAGAGTCCTGCTAGGGGCTTTCCGCTATGGGTTTTGCTAGGGATACTCTTCATTAGTCAGATAGAGTCCTGCTAGGGACATTCTACTATAAGTCCTGCTATGGATACTCTACATTAGTCAGATAATGAGTCCAGCTAGGGGCATTCCGCTATAAGTTCTGCTAGGGACACCCTGCATTAGTCAGAGTCCTGCTAGGGACATTCCGCTATAAGTTCTGCTAGGGATACTCTACATTAGTCAGATAAAAAGTTCTGCTAGGGGCATTCTACTATAAGTTCTACTAGAGATACTCTACATTAGTCAGATAAAAAGTCCTGCCAGGGACATTCTTCTATAGGTCCTGCTAGGGATACGTTACATTAGTCAGATAAAGAGTACTGCCAGGGACAGTCTACCAGAAGTCCTGCCAAGGATACTTTATATTAGTCAGATATAAAGTCCTGCCAGGGACATTCAACTATAAGTCCTGCTGGGATACTCTACATTAGTCAGATAAAGAATTCTGCCAGGGACATTCTACTATAAGTCCTGCTAGGGATACTCTATATTAGTCAGATAAACAGTCCTGCTAGGGACAGTCCTGCTAGGGATACTCTATATAAGTCAGATACAGAGTTTTGCTAGTGACAGTCTGCCATAAGTCCTGTTAGGGATACTATACATTAGTCAGATAAAGAGTCCTACCAGGGACATTCTACAATAGTCAAATAAGAGAGTGCTGCCAGGGATACTACACATTAGTCAGATTAAGAGTCCTGCCAGGGACATTCTACAATTATTATATAAAATGTCCTGCCAGTGACATTCTACAATGGTCAAATACTGTCAAACACAATAGTCAAAAACTTCCAGGAACAGTCTACAATAGCCAGATAAAAAGTCCTGCCAGGGACACTCTGCAATAGTCAAATACTGTCGAATGCAACAGACAAACACTACCATGGACATTCCACAATAGTCAGATGAAAAGCCCTGCCAGGGACATTCTGCAGTATTCAGATAAAAGGTCAATAGTCAAATGAAGTATACAGCCAGGGACATTCTACAACAGATTAAGGGTGCTACAAGTGATATTCTGCAATATCTAAATCAAAATTCCTGACATGTTACAATATTCAAATAAAACGTTCTGCCAGGGACAGTCTTCAGTAGTCAGATAAAAAACACTGCAAGGGATATTCTGCAATGTTTAGATACAAAGGGCTGCCAGGGACATTCTGCAAGATTCAGAATAAAAGTACTACCAAAGATATTCTTAAGGGACGTTCTACAATGCTTAGATAAAAAGTCAAGCTAGGGACATCCTACTTCAAATAAAAAAGTCGTGCTTGGGGTTTTCTGGAAGATTCAAATAAAAAGTCCTGCCAGGGTCACTCTTTTATAGTCAGATAAAAGTCTGCTAGGTACACTGGAAGCAGGGAAGCCTATGGCAACCTCCAAGTCTACTTTCCAGCCTAGTCTGGGCTAATGCAAAGTCACATATTCACACCATTGAAAAAAAAATCACTTTAATATATGGTCATGGCTGCTTTTGTACACAAGACAAAGAGAATATATGGTCATAGACAGGTTAATCGAGCTTTGCTGCAAGAAAACAAGCAAGGGTTGTATGTTTGCACTGAATGCAAAGGTCTGCATTTTCCAGAGCAAATCAAAGGGAGTGTTAGTCCTTTTCCTGCTCACTCATCTGAAGGTAAGTACATTTTCTCTGGGCGATCAAAAACCTGGTCACTAACAAAGGCAGCCAATGCTGCTTCCACCGTCCTGGTGTGGCTAGTTGGGAAATTTCAATAATTCTGACAAGGGTGACTGATTTGTGAACTACCAAAAAAAAAAGGGGGGGGGGGGGGTTAATGTCAGGAAATTTACACTGCTCCATTTATAAACGATTTGAAAAAACAAAAAAAAAAAAGACAAAAAAATATAACCCCTATCATGCTTCAAATAAAATATTAAAAAAAGAGAGAAAGCAAAACTGAACCAAACCAACCGATAGGAAAAAAAAATCATCAAAGTAAAAAATAATCACAAATAAAATCGATAAAAATAAATAGAATTAATAAATCAATAAAATAGGTAAAAATCTATTTTAAAAACCGATAAAATAGATAAAAGAGAAATAAAATAAAAAATCAACAAAATAAAACAGATTTAAAAAAATACAATAGATAAAAAATAAAATACAAAATCAATAACATAGATAAAAAAAAAAAAAAAATAAAAAAATCAATAACATAAAATAGATTAAAAAATAATAAAAAAATCAATAAAATAAAATAGATTAAAGATGAAATAAAATAAAAAAAACAATATAAAATGTATAAAAAAATAAAAAAAGGTAAAAATTCAAATAAAAAAAATAAATCAAATGAAATAGATACAAAATAAAATAACAAAATCAATAAAGTAAAATAATAAAACAATTGAAAAGATAGCAATAAAACAGATTTAAAAAAAAAAACAATAAAATAAGGAGATTCAATAAAATAAAAAATAAATGAAAAAAAAATATAAAACAAATAAAATAAAAAAAAAAGATTCTCACCCACCTGTGTTGTGATGGGTACAGAATACAAGCATTGAAAAATGGCAAGACATGGAAATGAAATCCAGAAAATTCACCTCCCTGGAAATTGTAAGCATACTGATGGACTCGTATATGGAGGTTGGGAAGGTGAGAAGGAATCTCAGGACAGGAGGCAATATTGTGAAAATTAAAGGGAGTGTCGGTCTAGGATGAAAACAGCAAGAATAAGATGTGGAGAAATGAAGTAAAGGGGGTCTTGGAAGATTTTTTTTTCCCCTCCTGTAGAATTTGGGCAGGGAGGAAAAAAAAAAAGTTGCTACTACTCCTAAAAACATTGTTTGTCATCAAGCGGTGTCAGCCTCCCCTTACAATACCTGGGATTGATGAGCGGAGGCGGCCAATCAGGAGGCGTCTGGGACTCTGGGAGCCCTTAGTTGGAGAGGCAGGGGTGAAGGGGGGGGAGAGGGCCAGGACCAATGGGCGCTGACGTCCATCCGCACGTGACTCCGCCCCCTCCTCCCATTCATCAAGGGGGGAACGAGTCGTCCTTTCAATTCATTTATCTGCAGGAATGATTGCCGCTATCAGTCTCCAGCTCAACGCCCGGCTGAGGAGGTGAAAGTTTCTCCCCAGGAAGATAAACCGCAAAAAGACAATATTGTGCATGAAAAAAAAAAAAAATAAAGAAAGAAAGAAAGAGGAGGAAAGGAGTGCAAGAAAAGTGTGTCTCCCAGAATCCCATTCACATGCAAGATCTGCTCCTGACAAGTTGTGCTCAGATCTGGTCGCCCATGTGAAGGAGGAGAAGAAGCGCTGCGATCCAGATCGGTCTCCTCCTGCGTTCCAGCCCCTCAGTGTCCTTTTTCTTCTTCTGGTTGAGTTCGGACGGTCGCCATGCTCCTGGACGCCGGACCCCAATACCCAGCCATTGGTGTCACCACCACATTCGGCTCCTCCCGACACCACTCCACCGGCGACGTGACGGAGCGCGAGGTGGGCTTGGGCATCAACCCGTTCGCCGACGGCATGGGCGCCTTCAAGATCAACCCCGGCGGGCACGAACTGGCCTCCGGACAGACTGCGTTCACCTCTCAGGCTCCGGGCTACGCCGCAGCGGCTCTGGGCCACCACCACCACCCGGGTCACGTCAGCTCCTACTCCAGCGCAGCCTTCAACTCCACCCGGGACTTCCTCTTCCGAAACCGGGGGTTCGGAGAAGCCGCCAGCGCCCAGCACAGCCTGTTCGCCTCGGCCGGGGGGTTCGGAGGACCTCACGGCCACACGGACGCCGCCGGACACCTTATCTTCCCGGGGCTGCACGAGCAAGCGGCGGGCCACGGCTCCCCCAACGTTGTGAACGGACAGATGAGGCTGGGCTTCTCTGGGGACATGTACGGCCGGCCCGACCAGTACGGACAAGTCACCAGCCCCAGGTCCGAAACACTATGCCTCCACCCAACTCCATGGCTATGGCCCTATGAACATGAACATGGCTGCCCACCACGGAGCGGGGGCCTTCTTCCGATACATGAGGCAACCCATCAAGCAAGAACTCATCTGTAAGTGGATTGAGCCCGAGCAACTGTCCAACCCCAAAAAGTCGTGCAACAAAACTTTCAGCACCATGCACGAGCTGGTCACCCATGTCACGGTGGAGCACGTTGGAGGACCCGAGCAGTCCAACCACATCTGCTTCTGGGAGGAGTGCGCTAGAGAAGGCAAGCCTTTCAAAGCCAAATACAAACTGGTCAACCACATCAGAGTCCACACGGGGGAAAAAACCCTTCCCCTGCCCCTTCCCTGGCTGTGGGAAAGTCTTTGCCAGGTCAGAAAACCTGAAAATCCACAAAAGGACTCACACAGGTATTTTTATTGTCACTACCACTGTATTATTATTTTTTATCTTAACTACCACCATATTATTATTGTTGTTTATGACTTCCGCCATAATATTGTTGTTTATAACTACCACCACATCATTTTTTTTTTAGCAAAACTACCACTATATTATTTTTTTTAGCATAAATACCACTATATTATTTTTTTATTTAGCATAAATACCACTATATTATTTTTTTATTTAGCATAAATACCACTATATTATTTTTTAGCGTAACTACCTCTATATTATTATATATTAGCATAACTACCACTATTGTTTTTATTATAACTACCACTATATTATTTTGTAGCATAACTGCCACTAAATGTTTTGATTGTAATTACCACTATATTATACATTTTTTAATCATAACTAACACTATATTTTTTTTATTTTATTATAACTACAAATATATTATTATTATTTATTATATGTATTTTTTGTGTTCCTAATAAAGGCAACTAAAGCCAACCATTTTTCTTTGTGACCCAGCAGATAAATATTTTACTCTTGTCTTGTTTTTTTTTATATATTTTTTGGGTGATTTTAATATATTCTAGCACAATTTTCTACTTCTATGTATCATTTTTTTTTCTCTATTAAATAGTTGAGCTGCCTAGAAATATTATTCCGTTTCCAATCGTGATTTTATTTATTGATGCTCGACTGGCAGAAAAAAAAGAGAAACTTGTCTGCTTGTCAAATCTGCCTGAGAGGTGGATAACCTTAATTGTATTACTGCGGAAAATTGTGCTAAATATTCAATTATCCAATTTTCACTTGGAATTGACAAATATTTGTTAAAAAATCGAGTTAGGGGATCGTGCCATCAATCAAAGCAATGCTACCGAAGTCTGGGGGAAATCTGGGGGTTTGACAGGGGTTGTGTATGTGAGTGTGTGTGTGGGAGGGGGTATTTTGCATGTCTTGTTTTTTTTTTTTTTTTTTTGCTTTCTTTTAGTCATTTGCTTTTATATACCACTCTAATACTTATCTTTCTTTTAAAATATTCAAGTGTAATATAAGTCTGAGCTGTGTAGTTAAAAACAAAATCAATCCATACAACTGATACAATTGAAACGTGTGTATTTTTTATGTGGAGCAATCTTGGAGTGATTGATAATTATGAAAAACAATAATAATATTAATGGGAGCAAATATACTTATAAAAATAAATGTATGGAAAATATTTTTTTTCTAGCTTCTAGTTGCATTTTTTACTGTGTGTTGGGATTTTTGCAGACACAGATTGTGATGTATGTATCTTTTTTGCTTTGTTTTTTTTATGCATTAGGTGAGAAGCCCTTTAAGTGTGAGTTTGAAGGCTGTGACAGACGATTTGCAAATAGCAGCGACCGTAAAAAACACACATGCACGTCCACACTTCAGACAAGCCTTATCTGTGTAAAATGTGTGACAAGTCCTACACCCACCCAAGCTCCCTCAGAAAACACATGAAGGTAACTAAACATCTCTCCCTGCCATAGACAGAGCAGAGAGCCTCGTGCTGCCTCTTAGAACTAGAGGGATCCTTATGATTGTGGCTACCTTCTGCTATCATCACTGTGCCAAACTGCTTTACTACAATTGTCTGGCCACCACCACATCCCAGACAAGGTTTTCTTCAGCCACCAAAATATACCAAAATTCCCAAGTAGTAAGTTGGGGTCTCGCCTTGTTTATTTTACTATACCAGCTGCAGGGAGAGTTTGTATCCAGTTCCCACTGTCCAGGTTTTCAGCACTGGATGAAGCCTCCTTTTGTGTAGGCAAACCACTGTGCAAGCCACAAAAAAGCTTTTCTGATATGACAGACCGTCTCCAATCTCTTGTATTCCATTGTCATCTTGCTGAAATAAGAAATAAGGGATCCTAAAGGGATCCCCAGAAGATCAGTCATCTGATCTATGAACGGTTTCTATTTCTTATGGGAGTTGTCTATATATGATAGAGGTTTTCTGTTTATTATGGGGGTTGTCTATTTAGAGGTTTTCTGTTTAATTTGGTGGTTGTCTATTTATTATAGAGGTTTTCTGTTTATTATGGGGTTATCTATTTACTATAGAGGTTTTCTGTTTATTATGGGGTTATCTATTTACTATAGAGGTTTTCTGTTTATTATGGGGTTATCTATTTACTATAGATGTTTTCTGTTTATTATGGGGTTATCTATTTTCTATAGATGTTTTCTGTTTATTATGGGGTTATCTATTTACTATAGATGATTTCTGTTTATTATGGGGTTATCTATTTATTATAAATGTTTTCTGTTTATTTTGGGGTTGTCAATTTTTTTTTAGAGTTTTTCTGTTTATGTTAGGGGTTGCCTCCTTTTATAGACTTTTTCTGTTTATTTTGGGGGTTTTCTATTTTTTTAATAGAGGTGTTCTGTTAATATGGGGTTCACTATTTTTTATAGGGGGTTTCTGTTTATCATGAGGGTTGTCTATTTTTTAAAGATATTTTCTGTTTATTATGGAGATTTTCTATATTTTATAGAGGTTTTCTGTTTGTTATGGAGGTTGTTTATTTTTTTTATGGAGGTGCTCTGTCTATTTGGGGGGTTGTCTATATTTTCATAGAGGCTTTCTGTTTATTAATTGGATTTTCTAGTTGTTATGGGGGTTGTCTATTTATTATAGATGTTTCCCTGTTTATTAATGGGGGTTTCTATGTATCATGGAGCCTTTCTATTTACTATGGAGCCTGTCCTTTTATTATGGAGCTTTTCTATTTATTATGGATGGGGAGGGGATCTGTTTATTATGGAGATTTTCTATTTAGTATTGAGATTTTCTGTTTATTATGGATGTTTTCTGTTTCTCTTGTTTATTATGGAGGGGGTTTTTTTTGTTTGTTGTGAGGATTTTCTGATTGTTATTACGTTTTTTTTTTTTGTTTAGGTTTTTATTTATTGTGTTTTTTTTATTATTAAGGTTTTTTTTTTAAATGAAGGGTTTCTACACATTATGGGGGGGGGGGGGGGCTTGTTTATTGTTTTTTTTTAAATGTATTATTGAGGGTTTTTTTTTTATTATTATTTTTTTTATGGTTGAACTGGATGGACATTTGTCTTTTTTCAGCCAGACTAACTATGTAACTATAGGGATTCTCTATTCATTTATGGAGGTTTTTTGATTATTATGGAATTTATTAATAGAGGGCTATGAAGTAATTTTTCCTATTGAACGATCTAGATGGTCTTGTGTCTTTTTGCAGTTTTTACCTCTCTTTGTCAGGGTAATTGTAGATCTATAGGGATCTGGTTGATTGCTGTATGTCTGACTCATTTTCCCCCCTTTCTATAGGTCCACGAATCATCTTCCCAGGGGTCCCAACCTTCTCCAGCAGCCAGCTCAGGCTATGAATCTTCAACGCCCCCAACAATCGTGTCTCCTACTTCAGAAAACCAGACCACAAGTTCCTTATCCCCTTCCTCCTCAGCAGTACATCACACGTCCAGTCACAGCACGCTCTCATCAAATTTTAACGAATGGTACGTTTAAACACATATTTAAAAAAAAGACTTCCAGAGATTAATGAACACTTCGAATCTAATCCTAAAGCTGCCGGGACGGAATAACAATGAAGAATGAGACCCTTTTTTTTTTTTTTTTGCTATTTTCTTCAGGCTTGGTAGAAAAAAAAACATATAAGGGGATTGTAGAGTGCATGAGAAGAGTTTGCCAGGCCAAATGCCAACCGTGTAGGGTTTAATGAACCACTAATTAGAGGTCTCAATCTGCATGTCTTTTCAGGCGGCCTTTTTTTTTGTAAATACAGAAGTATTAGTTGAAAAAAAATGTACTGTTGATTTTGTAAATAGCTATATTACAAGTGAAAGGGGTATGTGGAATTGTGATCACTGCATATATGTGTTTTTTGGGGTGGGGTGCAGAGGGAAAGGAAGCAAGCTCTTTTTTTTTTTTCCATGGATGGCAAGAATGTTCTAGTAAATGTGTACCCAAATGTGAAATACATTGTACCCTTCCAGTCTAAGCGTCCACATAACAGACTATTTACTGGTTTCAGTGTGCTTTTTCCCTGTATAAAGTGCAAGCTCTTCGTCCCAAAGTCCAGTCCGGTTTTTTAGTGCAGTGATATCTTGTTACACGTCATGTCAATTAATTGGTACAGTGCAAGCCTGGATCTCTTTATGTGTCAATCTGTTACATTTTGTTTATGTAAAGTGATATTAAAATATAAAAAAAAAATCTATAACTGTCCATTGCTTTTGGCATAAAGTGACATCCTGATGTATGTAGCGTTGATCATTTTTCATATTTATCCGCATGTTAAAAAAAAGCCCCGCTTCTACATGGTGACAGAATATTCAATATTTATGGATAGATTCATTCGTATGTCAAATTTTAGTTCCAGAAGCTGTTTGGTAACATTTCGTACATGATTAAAGACTATGTAAATCTCAGTGTATTGTGGTAGGAATCCTTATTTAACTAACGACCCCTCCCCCCTATTCAATTTTAGAATGCTAGCAGTAAGTACTAGAGATTTTTTTTGTAATCTTCTATATATAGATTCATTAAGGGTCCCCTGGTGAGGTTACTACATTGGATAAATAGCACTTATGACGTTTGCTATGTAAATTGTCAGCCGCATTGCTTTATGTCATGGCCTTATCAGGTATTCAATTCAAAGGATTCCCTTAGTACACGTCTAGCCTACCTGCAAATTCTGAGACAGTTAAAAATATTAGTCATTAAAATTGCGATGCTATTTATAGTAACACAAATTGAATATTTTACCCCTCCCATAAAGTTGTGTGATTGTTGTAATTCACTACCCCCAATATTCCCTTTAACCTATTTTCAATGCACTTTATTGCCCATTAAAGCTAGTTCAGGTTTAGTTCAAGTCCAGCAGCACTTTTTTTGAATGCCTTGAGTGCTGATTTTTATCTATATCAATTACTTGGGATGCTGTTATCATGACAGAGCTCCTCTTGCTTATTAAAAAAAAAAAAAAAAAAAAAAGATAAAAAAGCAAGGCACAATAATTGAGTGTAACTTTATTATCTGTCTTTTATTTATTCCTAATTTACTTAAGAAATTCGTTCCATTGACTGGTGATGATACAGTACATTTGTAAATGAGGAGGCAATATATAAAAAATGTAAATGGCTTGTGCTTAATGAGTGTTTCAGAACGCCTTTTCTGGAAATCAGATCGTCTTTTGTTGTAGTTTGATAGATTTTTGGAGGCTATATGACGCCATGCACTAACTTAGCCAGGCTTGTTGGGGAGAGATGCCTATTGTTCCAGCTTGTAGGCAGCACTGTAGCCCTATTAAACAGATCCTGACACCTACTCTCCTTGTTATGTATGGAAGTTTCCAAGCTCTTATAGGAGGGAACAGGCGCTGCAAAGATCATTCATACCATGGCCTTGTGTGCAGCTCCCTTTGCACCATTACTGATGGCAGTGCAAGCTTTCTTATGGGCCTCTCTGGCTCTCTAGACTGATTTAACACTTTGAATTATGAACTTGTTTTCTGATAACTGCTTAAGAGAATTATTGACATTCCAGCACAAGAATCCGTTTTACTGCCCTCAAGGAGAGGGGGGGGGGGGGAGCTCAAGTCATATTTTCCAGGGTGAAACAGCCCAGAGGAGGATGCATGGAGTCCTTGCTGCAGAGGAGAGAACAGCGCCACCTTGTTTGTAGGAAACAACTTGAGGAACAATGCATGTTAGCCATGTATACGCAGTTTTTCCAGTTCATAATGCCAGGTCAACAAGGGGAGCTGTCCTTACACCACACTTGTTTTGTAGTTGTCCCATCCATTTATTTAATGTCACCTAGGCCAGTGTCTTTGTGAATTGCTATGATTTTGATGAGGTTCTTAGAGGTGTAAGACCATTACTAATGCTGGATGTGAATTGTTGTATTAAATACTGTGTGCGGTTGTAAATTGATATTTGTTAGGTGGTCATGAGTTTGTTAACATCGAGGGAGGGTATAAAGAATATTACAGATATCATTGGGAGTAATCATTCCTACCTGGACTCAGAGATAGGCTGCTAGAAAGGGATGATAGAGGGAGAGGGGAGAGAGAGAGAGGGAGGGAGCGAGAAGAAAAGAGGGAGAAAGAGGGGGGGGGGGGGGAGAGAGGAGGGAAAGGAAAAGAGGAGGGAAAGGGGGGGGGGGGGGGGGGGGTGGGGAAGAGAGGAAGAGAGAGAGAAGGGGGGGGGGGTGAGGGGGTAAAGATGGATGCAGAGATAGAGAGAAGGGGGGGGGGGGAGCATAGATAGTAAAGTAGGTAACTGTCTGGTTATAGGCGATTTAGAAAATGTAGAGCAATATCGATGAATAGATAGATAGACCGACCAACTGAGAGAGAGGGAGAACAAAACATAAAAAAGAGAGAGAAAAAATAAGAAAAGAAAAAGAATAGATATACAATTAGATACACAGACAGATATATAATTTATTGGAAGATAACTGATAGATTATATACAGCGATAGATA